TCAGGCATGATGCGGTTATGGCGAGACAACCAGTTAGCAATTTTGTCTGCATTGACGTTTTGCTAGTCTCGCTGTCCAACTTGCCTACTTGCCCTCTTACTAACAACCAAGGGATTCATAAGAATGCCCTGTTTTGCTCCAAATTGCCGGCTTACTCGGTCTGACATGTACGGCTCGGCAATATCGTCAAATATCAAAGTTGTAGAGCACATTGCAATTTGAAATGCCTGCTGCTTATCATCTGAAATGACCTCATGAGGGTTGAAATAGGGATTCCAGATTGCCTGTTATATGATATGCAATCAGTCATAAAAAATAATTACAAATACTTAAATACTTTTGAAAGCAATCAATATCAAATTATACACTAACCTCATTAGGTTGGAGGTTATCAATTTCTTGTGTGATGGGAGGCATTAAGTTATGTGGATTGCCATGATATTTCTTTGGTGGCTCTCATATTTTGGCCCTAGGCATATTTTGAGGGATACCATGTGGTATGGGCCTCATATGCATAATATATTCATATGACCAGTACTGCAATAATTAAGTATGATAAATATTAAGTATATTAAGAAAGCAGTCTAAACTATTACGCTTATGTCATATACCAAAACAAATGGTTACCTGCATGAGAGTGGCTGAACTACTAAAATGTCTTCGTTTGAAAGTGCAAGCTTTTTCAAGTGAGCGATAGAGGAGTGCAAGGGCTGCAGCACCCCAAGCATATGTGTTGGCGCCCTCAATATCTTCGAAAGACCGTAGGTACCTTGTTGGCACTGTTGAAACTAATGCATTAACGAATATGGTTACACTGATGAGGAAGAGCAGATATGCTCGAGTATATCTATAAAATTGAACTGGGGTTGCATCAAGTGACAATTCCCTAAAATTCGCCTTCAACCATGTATGCCTCAGGCTTGCCAAGTTGCCATCAGGGACTATACCCAAATTATCTTCTATAAACTTTCGCAGGTCTCTGAAAGGACGACATGTTCTGGGTCACCATCCACAGCTAGTCCTAATATCTCGTCTACATCAAAAAGTGTTGGTGTCATCGCACCAATATGAATGTTGAAATGAAAGGTATTGGTCTCAAAACGCCATCTCTCTATATTAGCTGCGACCAAAGGATGATCAATTCGCCTTGGCCGAATGACAGCCAACGGACCCAACCCAGAAGCATGAACTAACTAAACTTGTTCTCTTGTTAATTTATAATCATTTAATTGATAACTCTTCTCATCAATTCTAATTTCTTCTTTCTCCTGAAATACAACAAATAGACAATATATTATAATCAATATATATACATGTACTTTCCATATGATGTTTGAACAGACTACCATTTATTGAAAATTAACAAATAAATAGAATGAGCAGATGAATATATGCATATACATGTCCTTCTCATATGAAGTAAGAGCAGTGTTCTGGATGAAGTTGCAACAAACTAGGGTCTTGAAGACCTATTGGATATCCTTTATTGGGATGTAACCGATCCATATTCACTGAAATCCCATATGGTCACCATGTTAATCATAAGGTTATATAAATTATCTGGATAACAAAAAAACAATATGACATACTGTTGATGAAGAAGAACATGGCTACAATCCATTGACGAAAGAAGAACATTGCTAAAATGAAATTGCTATGCTAGTCCAACTAAGGACCGTTTACTTGAAATCGAAATCAATCAGTGAATATGGTGGCCAAATAAAGAATTGATTCTTTGAGTCAAACAGACAACTAAGAAGAATTCAAAGAGTTATTCAAAAACCACTAAACAACTTCCATAATTAGCTACAACGAAAAAGCAGTCCCTTATCCAGTTCTTAAATCCAATTTAATATCTCTACTTGAAGAACTACTATACAGACCCCTTAATTAATCTGATATGCACAATCCTCATCCACTTCTTTTATCAGTAACCAATTCAAAATCACGTGAAATATTACATTGAGTCCAATTCAATGGATCTCAACTAAACAATAACCAAGCCCTAGATGGATAAACAAAAAAAAAACACAGTAATCCCCTTCCAAGTAACCATCCTCGACCAAAAACTAAAGAATTCAACTTGAATGTGTAACAAAATTATTTCAACGGAATTCGACATTGATAAGCAACAAATCATTTCATTGTAAAGACAATAATCAAACTTTCATAAACAACTAAATCATTCCATCAAAAACAAAGAATTCAAGTTAGCTCAATAACCAATCCATTAAAAAACCACGCAGTTCAATAAAAAAATTGAAGAAATTGATTTATAGATAGATGAACAGCTCCATCAAAAAAGAAAAAATTCAATTTTATGTCAAGCAACAATTTTAAACAATAACAGAGAACAATGCTACTTATAATACAAGCAACAGATTAAATCGAAAATATTCAAATAAATGTAGTCATTGTTACTTGAATCACATAAATCATAAATCATAATTAAAATAATTCACTAATTAAATACTTTGCAATATATTCAAAGTAAATATGTACTTGAATCATAAATCACACTCTCAAAGAATGAGAAAAACGCAGATGCACTGTGAAAAAATGAAAAAAATGCAGAAAACAGGGCGGACAAATTTTACTCACTGTCCCGCTCTTTTCGAAGGTTCAACATCCAAAAATCCAAATTTTCGGACGTTGAACATACGAAAATTCCACATTTTCAGATATTCAACATCCGAAAATTGAAAAGTGAATGATTTTTTAAAATCCTGTTTTCAGATGTTGAACATCCAAAAAATGGCAAAAGTATCTGTTTTTAAAAAAGACGTTATGAAAGATAAAAAACAGACAGATGAGTAATAACGAAAACTATTAGGTGTAACCAATGGTTTAAAAAACGGATCGGTGACTCAGATCGGGCTTCCAAAAAACCGATCCGGATCGGCGAATCGGCGATCCGGATTGGGAATCGAGTGAATCGGTAAGAATAAAGCTTAAAAAAAATTCGAAAAATTTATTAAAATTCATTATAAATATTGTTTTTTAAGAATTCAATAAAAAATGAGGGTACTCCATTAAGAATTTTCATGTTTTTGAATGAATATGCGAATATTGATATGTTCTTTCCCTGCATGAACCGCCATTCAGCATTTAATTTACAGTATTTCGTGCTCATCCCTACACTATTGCTGTTGGGACTCGATATGTGAATAATATGGCTGGGATAGGGTGGCCTCAAAATCAACATCTCTCTCGTTTTCTCTTTGAATAATATGGATTAAAAAA